CTCTCTCTCTCTTTGTGAGACAAAAAAAAAAAAAAAAAGTTGGCACTATGAGTGTTTCCACGTTCAACCGGAATATTCATTCTGATTTTGCTTATCCTATCGATGGAAGTCGCATCAGGCTAGTTTAGAGAAAGGGACTCACTTGTTATCCCTCGTCTCTCTCTCTCTCTCTCTCTCTCTCTCTCTCTCTCTCTCTCTCTCTCTCTCTCTCTCTCTCACCAAAAAATATATAGATATATATATTCGCTGTGAATATTTTCATGTTCAACTGGAAGGTTCATTCCGATTTTGCTCATCCTATCGATGGAAGTCGCATCAGTCCAGTTTAGAGAGAGAGACTCACTTGTTCTCTCTCCTCTCTCTCTTGATGCCTTGGCCAAATTGGTCAAGGCTGCGGACGATTCGAACCTGCGGAGACTGTGGCAAGGGCTCAGTTTGACATTCGGGGAGAAAAGATGGAGGGGGGATTAGAAGAAAGGGAGGTAAACGGGAGGGGTACTAGGATAATGGGATAAAGAGGGGGACATGGGAAATAGAGAATAGGAAAACGGCCTGAGAGAGGCCCTGCAGAATCCGGGTAGGCCAGATTTGGGAAACACGATGTCTCAGGCCGACTGAGTGTAGACAGGGCGGAAAGGCTGAGGGGACCGGCGGCTGAGCCCTAGCGGTAAGCCCAGGGGATTCTTGAAACAGGATTATTTATTTTTTAAAAATTTCCTGAATCTGGTGGCAGTTCGGGCCAGGGGAGGGGAACAGAGGGGGAAGGCCAGACTATTAGTACGGGCAGCACGGTCGAAGCTGCCCTCGAGCTACGGAATCAGTCGAATTCCACCTCCTGAGGAGTCCGCACGTAGGCAGACGAAACGCGTCGAGGATACTATGGAGCTCAGTGAGAACAGGTGGCATGGGCCAGAACATGGTGGGGCAGGACGAAAGGGAAGGGATGGGGAAGACAAGTTGCATGTTTATATTGAAAGCAATGATGGTTTCCTGTTTCGTTCTGATAACACCTTGAGATGGCATGCCGCAAAGACTGTGTGGCCGCAGTCTTTCTTCCTACACTCGGAGGCGCATAGTAACCGGGAGATGTAGAAGCTTCACGGTGGCTATGTCTACGCAACAGAACGACGCGACAGGACGTGACCGACAACACGGCAACGGAGTTAGTATCAGGGACGCGAACGGGCAACATGATATGTAACGGGGTGAAGAAAAGAGAGGAAGAGGTAGTGAGGACGGCAAGTGAGAAGAAACGGAAGATGTACGGCGGAAGTCGGAATCAGCAAGGGGGAATGGGCGGAAACGGAAATGCGGGGGGATATGATGGGGGTTACGGGGGAAATCAAGGCGGGAACACCGGGGGGAACAACGGCGGATACGGCGGAGGGAATAACGGAAGGAAGGAGTACTACGGGGGAAACAACGGAGGGAATACGTACGGGAGACAACAGATCTGCTACACATGTGGCAAACCCGGGCACTACTCGCGGGACTGCTGGATGAAGAAGGGGAGAAACGAAGACAATGAGTTTGAGGAGATGAAACAACACTACAGGATGATTATGCAAGAGAGACGAGAAGCTGAGGAAAAGAAAAGAGAGGAGGAGCAGAGGAGGATACAAGAGGAGAACGAAAGAAGAAGGGAACATGATATAATTCGACGGACAGACGAAATGAGGTTGCAGCTGGAAGCGGGTTTAGAAGAGAAATGGCGCAAGCAAACGAAGCAAGCAGAAGAAGCGGCAGCAGCGGCAAAAGCGAAGGCGGAGGAGGTGAAAGCGAAAGCGGAGGAGGCACATGCGAAAGCGGAAGAGGCGCGAGCGAAGTTCGAAAGGACCCGGATGTCGACTCTCAAGGCCAATACATGCGCCAGCGGATCCAAGAAACGAACGCACAACGTGTCATCGACAGAATCAGAAAGCGACACAACGTAAGACACAGGGGATAAGACCGGCATCACGGATTTGGAAGAGGAGCTGAGACGCACGATCGAACGACTGAAGAGGGAGAAAGACAGGAAGCGGACACGGAAAACAAAGAAGACGAGGAAGGGAAAGCAGGCGAAAACGAAGTCACCGGAGAAGAAGACATCCACTACGGAACGTGGTGAGTGTTCACGGGCGAGGAAGAAGAAGAGGAACTATCAAGAAAATGAGGACAATGTGATGAGGAACGCGAATGATATGGGTGGGGATTGTGACGAGACAGGGGTTAGATTCAATGAATGTTGTGGCTCACCACACGTGAGGGGTTTAAATTTCGGGATGTCGTTCGAGAACGAACATCAACGGGAAAACGAGCCAAGAACACCAATGGAGAACGGATACAAAGGCTTGGCAGCGAAGTGCTCGCGAGAGGGGATTATAGACTATTGTCTATCTACACAGAAGATACTAGCGTCAAAGAAGGCGCAGATGCTACGGAAGCTGTGCCAGAAGAAGGGCATAAAGTATACTAAAAAAACGGAAATGGTAGATGCCCTCGCCAGGGAGCAAGTCAAGCTGGCGTACGAGGGATTCGAAGACGATGAGGGACAGGGAGAGGAGAGCGAAGTACCGGAGGCGAATCTGGGGGAGGACCTACACAGACAGGAAAGGAGAGGTACGAGGTCGTCTGTGAAGTCTGCACCGGCGAGAGTAACTTTGCGATCAGCGGCCAAACAGAAGGAGCAGGAGTCGGATTGACTACCTGCGCCCCCGACGAACGCGACTCTATGGGAGACTCTGACCTCCCATATGGAATCGCGACCAGCCCTCTGGGGGCAGGGCAGGAGCAGCATGCAGCTACGGTAATGCTAGCTATCAGGGGACAGATACCGTGGCTCACGAAATGCATAGCGAGATCGGAGAGAAGCCCACAAATGTTAGACTTGAAGGAAGGGGGCGTGTACGTTATCACATCACCCTGGGCGAGAAAGGTGTACGTCGGAAGCACAGTTTGAAGTTTGATGCAGAGATGGAGGGAACATCTAAGTAAGGCAGATGCGGACACGATCGGGAGTTCACCAAAGCAGTATAGGTGGATACGACATTTTGGGAAGGAGAAATTCCTAATCATACCGATCCGCCATGCTAATGAACGATCGGGCTATGGAGAAACATTTGATCAGAGGCTTCTTTCCGACACTGAACACATGCAACAGCAAGACAGGGAACAACGGAGTGAAGAGATGTAAATGGAAGGGGAGGAGAGAAAGACGGAAAATGAACCGTACTCCACACAAGGTGAAGAAATTGGTCAGTTTTTGCTTACCAGGGATGACAGAGAAACGTGTAGCGGTGCTGAGATGGCTAGAGGAGGAGTGGAGGAAGAGTGCGAAAGGTGAGAGAAGAGTAGAGTTTCACGAGGGTGAGATATGGAGTGATGGTTGGAAGAAGGTGAAGAGGCTCTTCGGCATGACAAAGGTGAGCTTGAACGGACGAGTGACGAAACTGGCAAAGGTGAAGGGAGAGCTACAGAAAGGAGTGATGGCGATCCTGATTGGAATCGTGAAGACCAAGACGACGACGGCGACATACTTACAGGAGCTGCGAGAGATGCTGAGGAAGCCGTTCGAGTTTAAACGGCTGACGACACGGAGTACGAACCAACTGGTTGGAATGTATCGAGCGGCGGGGCTATTCGGGGATAAGAAGACAAAGAATGACGTGAGACTGAAAATAGACAAGGTGATAAGAAGGAAGAATGGGGTGGGAGTGCGGAAGAGGGTGGTGGTGAAGGTGGGCTATGACAGGAGGGTTGCGAAAATCAAGATCAGAGCGCAACAGAGGAGGTAGTGGAGAGACGAGTGGAGGATAAGGCCATCGCAAGTCAAATCAAGACAAAAATACGGATTACATGGTGCAGGAATCGGACGGTCGGGGAGATTATCCACAACCACCACAAAAATGCGAACGTCGGGGAACAGCCATGCACATGCAGGGGAACAGGGCTACCGACGAAAGAAGGGCATGTGCTGACGCGCTTTTCAGAGTGGGATGGAATACCGAGCTTCATGAGGAATGCTAAGAATGTGACTAGCCAGTCACGAGTAAAGAAGACGGAGCAATTCACGCAAGTTATAGCACAAGGGACCAGCTACTTGGGTGGGAAAGCAGAGGATGTGACCGTACCAGAGGGTGGGTTCGTGAAGGAGGCGGTGGCAGACGGAAAACAAGAAACGTGGGAGGACTGGAAAGTGGCAGAATGGGCAAAGAGGTTTAAGGGCCTAATAATTGCCCCGATCGATCGGAATCAGGGTGATACGGTGGTGATATGTCCGGTGATGTACAGGCACGCATTTGGAAAGACCTTCGTTTGGAACTCAGATTACGTACGGATAAGAGAGGAAGAGCAGGAGATTCTCCAAACAGCGCGTAAGGACTTTGAGCAAGCTGGACTACACAAGATTGTCAAGTGGAAGACTGACGGCAGGATTGGACAAGCGTACATGATCCCAAAAGATAAGGACCTATTAAGATGGAGACGGATCGCACCGGCAAACGACGATCCAGCCAGCCTGGCGCAGAAGAGAGCATCTAAGGCACTGCATTATCTCATCAAGTTGTTCCCGAAGGAACATTCTTTCTACCTGAATGCGATACAAGAGCTACCGGGGAGAATAGAGGCAGCACAGAGGAGGTTCACCGAGATGGGCTGCACAAGCGTGGAGGGGCGATGTTACGACATCAAGGATATGTTCACAAAGATACCGCACGACGCGGTGCGGCGGGCAGTCTGGCAAATGCTACTATGGTACGCGAATAAAGGCTGGAAGCAGGTGAAAGTGGCAAGGAGGGGGAAGATGTGCACAATCAGCAAGACCCGGAGAGCGGCAGATGGATACGTCGCGCTGCAGTTTGAACAGATGTTTAGCATGGTCAATTTCGATTTGGACCATGCGTACATCAAATGTGGGGATATAGTGACAAGGCAGGTGGGTATCCCGATGGGGAAATCCAGCAGCCCGACACTGGCTACTATCACATGTGCGATGGCAGAATTCAACTGCCTGAAGGAACTAGGCGCTGACCGGAAGCTCGTCGCAGGATGGAGGGTAGTGGATGACATAATAGTCGTCGTGGGGAACAGGGGAGGAGGAGAGGAGGATGGGCGAGAGGGTACAGAGGGCATATTCAGCGACCTGGAGATGTGCTACGACAGAAACCTGAGCCTGGTCAGGAAGGAAGATGGAAGAGATTGGTGGCACTTCCTCGGTGGGATGTTTTATCTGACACAGCAGCCACTTAGGCTGCTCTACGTACCGGATACAAAGAATCTGACGGCACTTCGTGAAGAGGGAAGGCTCAGATTCCACACGATGCAGGACTTTGCATCATACTCGGAAGAAAGGCAAAAGAAATCAACTTTGGCTGCGATGCTGGAAAGGCTGTGGTCGTCCACGTCGTGCCGGGTCCTGGTAATCAGCTCCATAGCATATGCAGTGTGAGAAGCCAACCTCCGGATATATGCCCCGGAGGTCTCTCTTGGTGCCTTGGCCAAATTGGTCAAGGCTGCGGACGATTCGAACATGCGGAGACTGTGGCAGGTGCTCAGTTTGACATTCGGGGAGAAAAGATGGAGGGGGGATGAGAAGAAAGGGAGGTAAACAGGAGGGGTACTAGGATAATGGGATGAAGAGGGGGACAGGGGAAATAGAGGATAGGAAAACGGCCTGAGAGAGGCCCTGCAGAATCCGGGTAGGCCAGATTCAGGAAACACGATGTCTCAGGCCCACCGAGTGTCGACAGGGCGGAAAGGCTGAGGGGACCGGCGTCTGAGCCCTGGCGGTATGCCCAGGGGATTCTTGAAACAGGATTATTTATTTTTTAAAAATTTCTTGAATTTGGTGGTCGTTCGGGCCAGGGGAGGGGAACTGAGGGGGAAGGGCAGACTATTATTACGGCCAGCATGGCCGAAGCTGCCCTCGAACTACGGAATCAGTCGGATTCCACCTCCTAAGGAGTCCGCACATAGGCGGACGAAATGCGTCGAGGATACAACGGAGCTAAGTGCGAACTGGTGGCATGGGCCAGAACATGGTGGGGCAGGACGAAAGGGAAGGGATGGGGAAGATAAGTTGCATGCTTATATTGAATGCAATGATGGTTTCCTGTTTCGTTCTGATAACACCTTGAGATGGCATGCCGCAAAGACTATGAGGCCGCAGTCTTCCTTTTCTCTCTCTCTCTCTCTCTCTCTCTCTCTCTCTCTCTCTCTCTCT